AGAATGCTCTTTCTTGTGTCATTTCTCATCTCAGTGGGTTAAAATCTGATAGAGAAGTGGTGAGTGAGGGGTTTTTTTTTAAAGCAAAACTGCATTTCTAACAAGAAAACGCTTATGTGCAATAAAATAAAAACTCAGCAACCAAGTGTGGTTGCTATTCAGATATTAATTTGCTATTCCCTCGCTTCTAGAGCATTTTTAACTGCAATCATAACCAGCCATTGTCTTCGAAACCACCTCTGTGTAATGCCATCCCCAGTTCACTTGTCACAGTGGTAAGGAAGGTGGAGGGCTGGGAAATCTGGTTGTCTTCAGAGCTTTCCACAGCTGCCCACGAGTGACTTGCTGTCCTTCTGCTTTCCTCTGTATTCCCCCAAGACAAGAAAGACGTTGAGCTGTTGGAGTGGGTCCAGAGGAGAATCAGGAAGATGATGTGAGGGCTGGAGGACCTCTCTTGTGAAGAAAGGTTGAGGGAGCTGGGCTTGTTGGGCTTAGAGAAGAGAAGGCTCTGGGGAGACCTCATTGCAGCCTTCCAGTACCTGAAGGGAGCTTAGAAACAGGAGGGAGAGTGACTTTTGACGTGGGCAGATAGTGACAGGACAAGGGGAAATGGTTTTAAACTGAGGGGAGATTTAGGATATTAGGAGGAAATTTTCTACCCAGAGGGTGTTGAGACACTGTCCCAGGTTGCCCAGAGAAGTTGTGGATGCCCCGTCCCTGGAGGCATTCAAGGTCAGGTTGGATTGGGGTCCTGGGCAGCCTGATCTTGTGGTTGGCAACCCTGACCACAGCAGGGGGGTTGGAACTGGATGATCTTTAAGGTCCTTTCCAGCCCAAACCATTCTATGATTTAAGTGAATTTTGTGTCTTTCAAAGCTGTGGGATTCCTGGGCAAGCCCAATTCAGACAAAGGAAGATTGAGATTTGCCCCAGGTACGTGAAGGTAAAGATGACCCCAGTGCTGTCTTCCCTTCCTGGGACTGATACAGACCATGGGGCTGTGGATACCAACACCAAAAATTCTGCACCACAACATCCTTGTCAAATAGCGAACCTATTTCTGGTGCTAGAAAACCCCTTTGCTTGAAGCTGGAAACTCTGAGTGTTGCCCTGTGGCAATGAGAATAACTAGCTTGGGGGAAAACCAGTGGATTTTAATAATCTGAATGAGTTTAGCCTGGAGTTCTCAAGAAGTTTGCAACAAGCAAGGTGACTAAAAAGTGCTGCCTCTTGCTGCTCAAAGAAATCACAAGAGGGGTTTTTTTTTCTTTATAACCTTTTTTACTTCTAAATGTCCTTCCTTCTCTTGTGCTGCAGGGATAGACAGAGAATTGTGCAAAAATGTGAATAAAGGGCAGGGACTTTCTACTTGGTGGGGGAAAAATAAGAATAAATATTCCTGATGCTTAAAGCATCAAAGTCCTGGTGCCAGCTCTGGTTTCACGTGCACAACTGGCACCTGGGGTAAGTTGTATCAGATAAAGCCAGGGAGTTGAGAGGAGGCAAGACAGGTTGTGAAAGCTTGGAGGCAGGGAGGTGACTCGAGCTGAACTTGTCCTTTTGCTGCTCCACGTGTCAGCGTAACCGGTAACGCTGCTGAATCACAGGGCTCCTTACAGATAACTGCAGGTTGTGTAAGTATTTCTTAGGGTGGAACTTGTTCGACTTTGTAAGAAAATAAACATGAATAACCATCAGTCCCAATATTGGGGGCTATTTATATTGCAGAATTCTGCTTAGAAATCAGAGAATCACAGAATGGTGGGGGTTGGAAGGAACCTCAGGAGATCATCCAGCCCAGCCCCCCTGACAAAGCAGGTTCCCTACA